AAGTATTATTTCAATCAAAATTATAATACTCATGGAAGTTTATTCCAAACACCAATATTATAGGTCCACTACATAAATTGACAAATACTTGGTATTCATGTAGACAGATCTTTGCCAATAACATATTTTAGCAAATAGAATGTCATCACAAAGGCACCTAAAAGACTTAGCGTTGTTGTATTACGTGAAGTCTTACTCGAGAATGCGCCAAGCACTTGGTTGTAGAAAGTAGAATGGAAATTACAAAAATAAAATCTTAATTCTAATAGAATATTAAATAATTCTAATTAAACCTTTAACAATACTAAGTAAGCTTTAATAAAATTCAAAAAAAACCTTGAAGAAATTACAAAAGAAATAATAAAAATTCTTTAAAAAGTTAAAAAGAAATCTACAATAAATCTTAAAAGAATTTTTAAGAAATCCAAAAGAAATATTAAAATAATCAGAAATATATCTCAAATAAATTTCAATTAATTCATAATTTAATCCTAATTAAAATCCTAATGAACTTCAATCAAATCCTAGGCCAAATCTTAAATCCTAAGCAAACTTAAAATCCTAAATTAAATCCTAAATAAATCCTAAATTCTAAATCTTAAATCCTAAATCAAATCCTAGTATGACTCTAAATCCTAAATTAAATCCTAAATAAATCCTAAATTAAATCCTAAATAAATCCTAAATCTTAAACCAAATCCTAATAAATCCTAAATCCTAAATTAAATCTTAAGGCACATTAGAATCCAAATATCTATCAATTAAACCATTCATCTTGCTTGAAAATTTACACACCTCTCAATTTCTTAGTTAAAAAATAGTACAACTAATTTGAAGATAATTATACTTACTAAATGGAAGAAAAATTCTAAAACCCACTTAGCTATTAGTCAATCTCCTACTTCAATCTAAATATTAAACTTCCAATGCCAATATCTCCTTTTTAAACTATTCAATTATTTTCAAATTTCACATATATGTAGCAAATGAAGTCTATTATCTTCATACATAAATTTCACTCAAATCCAATTAGTAGATTGCTAAAGATCTTAGAAATCCTAACTATCCTTCAAAGTCCAATTTCTAAGAACTCAACCTATTTGAAATTCAATAACGTTCAATTCAATTATTTGATCAAGCTCAAACTTATAGCATACATTTAAAACAACTATACTCATAAGTTCTCAAAATTTGAATTGCAAATCTATTATCAAACTCATGAAATTCTCCAAAATATAATACTCTTTTTATTTCACAAATTCCACAATCACCTAAAACAATCGTGACTTTGCAAAGCTCTTATAAAGTCATCACATACTTAAATCCCTCAAAATAAATTCTCAAAGAAATCCTATCAAGTCTGCTCTTAAATTCCACTCTTTGATCTCCAAAAAAATCCCAAAGTTCCCATAGGAGCTTGATTTTGTGCCTCACGGTCTGTTTTGACCTAGATTGATAATTGATCCTCTTTGGGTATTAAATTTTTCCCTTTTGAGTTAATTTTTACTAAATCAACTCGTAACTTCTTCTTACATATGTTCATATCTTTTATTTTTCTAATTTACCTTGTTTTGCCTTATTTATGGCCTTGCAAGTAAGTAGAAGCTTACTTTGCAAAAATATAGCATTTGCACCTTTAGTTTTACTTTCCTTTGTACTATTGTCTATTTTCTAAGATAATTTGCTACAATATTTGAAGTAAGATCTTTTGTACTATAATAAATTCTTCATCATTTTTACCTATTAGTTGTATTACATCATGACAGTGTTCAATATCTTATAAATATAAAAAATTGTGTAATTATGTTCAAAGTACTTTTGAAAAGCTTGGCTATCTTTCAAGTTCTTTTTAAATAAATTATTTTATTAAATAATGATATTTCACATTATGACTATATTCAATTAAAAAAAAAGTGTAATATTATAAACTAGTATTTGATACATATAGAAGAGTTTCTCTAATCAAGGAAGGATACATATCCTAGAATTAAAATGTGTTATATGATGAATGATGTTTTTTAACAAGAAGAGTACAAAGCTAATATCCTCTCTTGCTTTCTATGTCACTTTTTTATACAATAATATATAGGAGGTAGTTTTTTCCATCTAAATTTATTAATAATTTGTATGTATAAATCAAAGTCCTTATGGTAGTATTTTCTATGCTATTCTATTTTTTTCTTTCAAATACACATTATTTTTTATGGTGTTCTAATCATTTTTCTTATTTCTTCTAATGTAAAGTTGTATTTTTGGGATTTTGGTTTTTTTTGTTGCTATGCATTGATTTATTGGTGAAGTGATAAGGCGGATTTTTATTCAACTATTGAGAGTATTGCACCATTATTTGGAGACAAAGATTGTAATTACTAGTTCTAAAGAAAAAAAATAAGATTATAATAGTTATTACAAAAGCATCATCCAAATTTTGTTTATAGCAAAGATCTTTTAAATTTTAAAGATGCAAAGAAGAAGGAGTAGTATCTGTAAGAGACAACAATGAAGATTTTATTCTAAGCCTATTGTTGTTGCAAAGAAGGAGATTATATGTGGTTAAGCATGGCCCTTCATCCAAAATACATTTTGCATAGAAGAAAGCTAAGCCATAGGTTTGTAGTTTTAGTAGTACAAAATATGAATCAGTCAGATTGATTGATGATGCAGAGGTGTATCTTAGAATTAGAATTTTTTTTGTATGAAGTTCTAATATTGGTTAATGGCTTAATCTCTAATTTTTTACAATTGGAAAAACAACAAAGAGCTTATATAAGATTAGTCAAAAAATTTGCTTGCAATATCATAATTGGAATGTAATAGACTTTGACTTCTCTTAAATATATCTTTTTTTAAACAAACCATGCTCTTATATCAATATGCTTTATTTTCTTGTATAAAATTGGATTATTAAATAATTAAATATATAATTGATTATCATTGCATAATAATAATATTTTGTATTGATTAATCTTAATTTTATTAAATAATTTTTATAGATAAAGTATTCAACTACAGCATTTGACAAGACTTTGTACTCTGCTTTGGTGGTTAAAAGGAATACCACATCTTGTAGCTTTCTTGATTAGTGTACTATTGATTCACTTATTTTGTAAATGATGTCTAAAATAGATTGTGTCAAGTTTAAGTCTCTCTTTTAATTTGAATCAGCAAATACATAATATATATATATATATTTTTTTTTTTTTTTTTTGTTTAAGTAGTGTAGCTCATAATCTATTGTACTTTTTAAATATTATAAGATTTATTATACTGCTATAAAATGAGCTTCTTTTATTTTTTCCATATAAAAATTGACACATTCTATTGCAAGGCAAATAACTTGATAAGTTATTGTGACATATATGAGACTATTTTGAAGAAATTAATATTCTTTTTAATTTATTAGATGTATATCTATTTGCTTTTAAAGCTGCAACTTTGATTCTATTAGTAATTTGATAGATATATAAGCAATTATTTTATATTTTCATAATATTTTTTAATATAGATTTTTTGATGTATGTAGATTTTCAAAAGATGATATTTTAATTCTATTCTAAATTATAGTTGTATAAGCCAAGGTCAATCATGTTAAAGTTTTTGTTTAGTATTTTTTGTAATTTCTTGATTTTGTTATTGTTCTCTCCAATGATAAGTAAGTCATTGATGTATAGAAGTACAATAATATTTTATTTGGTTTTCTCTTTATAATACATATTACAATTAGCATTACTTTATAATATTTCTTGTTCCAAAGGCCAAATGTCTATCCTTGAATATTAGGCCTTTGGTACTTACTTTAGTCCATACAATGCTTAATTTAACTTAAATTCTTTGATAGAATCTCCTATATCTTTGAATCTTTCAAGTATTTTCATATAAACTTTTTTTTTTTTAAATTATTTTAAAAAGTTGTCTTAACCATTCTATGTGTCATTTTTTATTTTCTTTTTGTAACTTTAGACAATACTAATTAAACTATAGATCATCTAATAATTAGAGTAAATTTTTTAAATTAGTAAATTTTGATAATTTATTAAAAGCCTTGGGCTGCAATTTGGACTTTGTATTTTTATACTTCATCATATGGTTTCTTTTTGAATTTGTAGATCCACTTTATTGTTATTAAAACTTTATCAATAAAGCTATCTACTATGATTCATGTATTATTTTTATAAATGCTTTTTATTTCTTCCTTCATTTCTTTTGTCCATTCTTAATCTATAACTATTTTGAAGTATATATTGGATTTTGTTGTCATTACTAATATCTAATAATAATCTTTTAGCTTTTGACATGGAGCTCAAATTTTGGTTGGATAATATTTTCTGAGTGAATCTACTTCTATTATATTTGGATATATATTTGGTACTATGTTTGAATCAACATTGGCTATTTTAGAATTTAGTAAATGTGATTCTAATATGCTGTCAGTTTCTTCTATTTAAATTTAATTTTCTTGGTTTAAAGGTAGTAATTCTAATTTTATATTATCTTTTGTGATTATAAAGTATGTTGGAAAATATCTTTTTTTGTTGAAATTGAAGAAACTAAATTAATATCATATTCTTACTAAATTAATATCATATCATTTTTAGAAAGATTATCAATGGCAAAAATATCATATTCTTGATTCATTAAAGGTAATATTTTTTCCATTGATAATCTTTCTAAAAAGAAGATTATATACTATATAGACTTTTTTCTACTCATTATAATCAAAGAATAAATATTTTTTGTTTTATTGTCTAATTTCTGTCTATGCTCTTTAGGAATGTGTAAAAAGGTAATACTTCCAAAAATTTATAAATGGCTAATGTTTGATATCTTATTTAATTATTATTATTATATATTAATTTCTTTATTAGCTTTATTTGGACTATAATTTACTAGATAGTTTGATATTGATATCACATCTATCCATAAGAATTGACATAGATTAAACTCTATTGCAATGGAGTGAATTCTTTCAACCACCATTATATTTTGTAGCTCTACAACACCATTTTGAAGTGTATAGATATATTTTTTTTTTATTTTTGGATCAACATAGGACTTATACTTTATGTTGTTTGCTTTCAAGATAATATTTATATATTGTATATGATAATGCTAACTTAGATAAGTCAATTATCTTTTTATATTTTGATAAATGAATCAAGACAAAGTAGCTGAGGTGGCCATATCTTTTGTGCTATGGTTTGTTGATGTTACTTTTTTCAATATTATTAATTTAAAATCTATGTAAACTATTTATTGAATCTTGATATCCCACCAAAACAAATTAAATAGTTTGATTAAAATCCAATAATAAGAGCTGGAAAATAAAATGATATGACTTATATCAACTTTAGCTCCAACAAATATTAAGCTTTTCATAAGAATTAGTACATATTGAACATTAATTATATTTATTTCACCAAAACCAATTTATATAATAGAATTTTTAATACCTTCAATGTGATGAATTTTTTCCTTATAATTTTAATATTCTTTCTTGTATTAGCTCTTGTGATCTAGCTAATGATATCTTTTGTATCAATAACATATGCAATTGTACCACTATCCATGTACCATTGTTGAGAAGAGCTTATAAGACCAGATATCTATGCAATGACTACATCAAGGTTTTCTACTGCATTTGCATATGCTGATTGCATAAATAGACCTCGACTCAAATTTTCTTGTGGTAGCTAATCTTGTAAGGCAAAGTAATTTTCAATAATGTAATATAATTGACTGCAATTGTAACAAGTTATCATATTTCTAAAAAATCTTTATTCTAGTATACTTCAATTCCTTCTAAATTAGGTGCTTCTTCTTTAATATTATCCCCTTTCTCTATAGCCTTAATTTGAAATGTCTCCTTGATATTGTGCTCTATTATAAAATTAAAAATGTGTTGATAATTGAATTGTATAGTTAAATTGTGCCGCTAGTAACCCTACATCTCCAAGTTGTATAATTTTCTATATTTGCCATGCTACTCCAATGAACAACTTTGATTTCAATTAATCAAAGGTGAATATAATATCTAGATTGTTTAAGGATTGAATTCTTCTTTTTAAATTTCTTACTAAACCATTGAATAGAAGTTAATAGATGCTTATATTGTAAATAGGTTCATCCATGGATAGAAGTTGGTTTCTTATATTTGTTGTTTTATTGACATATTCTTCCATCAAGCTCCTTTTGACATCTTCAATGTCTATAGTTGGTTACTTAACATTAAAAGTTGCCACTATTTGCTAGATGCAAACTTTTTGTCATGCCATTGACAAAAATAGAGCTCACTTGTTGCTCAATGTGATGCATGAAGCAAGGTCACTTCTATTTCAACTTGTTGAATACTTCTAAGAACATTGCCTACTAGATCTAAGTAGAACTCTGTTACACTATCGCTTTGATACCATGTTAAACAATGATATCTCACACTACTGTATTTAATAGAATAAAAAGTGTAATACTAAGAACCAATACTTGGTACATATACAAGAGGTTCTCTAATCAAGGAGGGACACGTGTCCTGGGGGTTAAGGTGTGCTACGAGATGAATGCTGTTCGTTGACGAGGAGAGCAAAAAAGTGAAGACACCCTGGGCGAGGAAGTCTTCAATCTGACCCCTCCAAATCCGAGTTGCAGCAGTGTCCTCCATCACGTCAACCTCCTTTTTGACGGAAACTTATTCATTTTTGCAGAACGAACTCGATTTTTCTCAAATACAAGACTGGTGCTGTATTTAGGACCTTCCTTGGCATCCCCTGGAACAAATGCGATTTCTCAGCCGTCTGCTCTTGGGTTCTCCTCCTCCCCCCCCCCCCCCAACACATTCTCTTTCACGAGACTGGATTCCAAGTCGCCAAGGTCTTAATCTGCAGCGGCTCAATGGAAGACTGGAGAGCTGCCTCCACTCCATTAATAGGCTGCGGAGGGACGATGGTTACGCCTGAAAACTCAACTTAGGTGATGGAAGACATGCTCGTTGCAGGCAACATGGGCAACACGATCGTTCTACCCACTTGGGATGTTCTGATCAATGGTGGAGCGCAGACTGGCGGTCAGGGATGGGGCACGACCTAGAATACCTCATCGCAGCGATCCCAGTATGTGATTGAGGTGGGGCCTGGATTGGATTTCAGTTGCTTGCGGCCAACACTGTGCCGCGTGCGTATCATTTGAGAGCAAATTTGTTGTCTGATTGGCGCATTCGAATCTTCTACGTACGCGTGGGCTGATCATTCACATCGAATTGTGAGTGGAGGCCTTTTCGCCACTGTATAATAATTTCGAGTAAACTCTGACTGCTTCACTCTCCATCTTGAAGATTGAATTTGTTTGTGGCAATTAGAACAGGTGAGCTCAAATCGTAGACCCTTTTTAATTTCACGAGTTTGTGGCACGCAGCAATCACGAATATTGGAGAGCTTCATCACGTGTTTCAACTCGAATTACTATTCTAGAACCATCAGAAAATCTATGTACTGATGAGTTAGCCCGCCCTTGCAGATTTGCAATTGTTTTTTTATCCAGAAGGTTCCAGATAAAGGTTCTAGTTATGCCTTTATTAACCGATCCAGTGCGATGGGAATGCCCAGTGTGCAGATCTGAAGGCCAGAGACCGAGCCTCACTGGATGTGGTGTGGACCGTCACCTCCTATCTATCCTGCATAAGCTATCCTTAAGCCCAAAGCTAACGGCATATCAAACTCCGAACCCTGTATCTTAGACATCGCGAGCGATAGCCGAACATGACCCTGATGATCACAGAAACGATTTTCGTATTATTTATGCTGTGTGTCAGTAACGTAGTGCCGACAAGAGATGAACTGTTGCACCTGAACAAGCTCAGGCTGGTCGATAGCAATCACATACACTAGTCACCTTGATCGTTGTATCGAGAATTCCGAACGGTGAACTATTTACTTATTGCTCAACATTGAGTAAACTGGCAGATTTAGGAAGCTTCGGTGTATTGCTCATTCAGTTCGTCGCCCTTACGGGGGTGGCATTTCTGATTATGAACCAGCCGAAGCCTGTTTCAGGTCTGGCAGTGAAGAAGATTCTCCACCCTGTATTTGATTAGTTAATTTCTCAATTCTGTCTACATGATTTCAAATGAAGGTTTGAGAAAATTTTGTCCACTATTCAACCCATCACGGTACATATCTCTCATCTCTTCTATTCGGCATACTCACTGTTGCTAATCTGAGAAGGGATTGGATTTCTACGTCGTCGACGAGCGTGCAACTATGTAAACGAACAAGTGGATAGTGAGGAATAATCTAGTCCTGTTGTTGGTAATGCAGACAGTTGTAACAGGCCATGATTACAAGTTCAGATAGCAAAGGTACCCTAAACAATAAAAACTTCTAATGATCAGCCACTGACGCACAGGAAAATTGAATATGGTTGCATTCTGAATTAACATTTTTTTGGATACATGAGCGAAATAATACAATATTCTCGAAAAAACAGCCTCCAGAGTTATGTGAGTCAATACAAGAGGTTAATAGGAACTTCAGGATGTCACACCCGTGACCAACGCTGTGGCAATGTGGGCGACCTTATGGAAGGGTAAGATACTAGGGAGGCTCTGCTAGAATTGTGTACAAAATGGGAAACAAAAGTTTGGCCTGTCTGAAGTTTACAACTTCTCTAACCTTTCCACAGGTATCTACACTTTTCCCGAGTAGAACCCAGGTCCATTGCACTGTACAAAATCGCCCACAATCGGCTAGCTTCGCCACTTCGCACTTAACATGTGCTCGTCACTGCAGCAACAATCCTCGCCTCGAGCATTATGTACAAGAGCAAACCAAGCTGGTTTCCCCTGTTTAATTTTAAATGAAATTTTCCATCTCGATATGTTGAGTGTCACATTTGATGAATAACCTCGCAAAGTGCTGAGGATAAAGTGACAGAGATCTCCGAGTAGTAAAAGGCGGAACTTGACCAGAAAAAAACGCCAAGATCAATTTGATAGACTGAGGCGAATGATGTTGAGTGACTCCCAAAAAACGGTTGTTCTAGCCGGGCGGTGATTGCAACAATAGTTTAGTTGATGAAGTAACGACCATTTTGGACGCCATTCCGTTTCTCTGATCCACGTTTTTTCCACTGCACAAGGCGTCGCAGAAATTCCATTACCTGCAGGAGTAACCTGTGTCAGAAGATCTATCTTTAATGTACTGGCGAATAAATCTGACGGACTATGTACATTCAAATTAATGGTCGTACAATGTTAAAACAGCGCGACAGTTAACAGAAGGAAGAAGATAGTACCTCTGAAGGTTCCCGAAGCGAAAGGGCGGCCTTAGTTGACTTGGGAATGGATGACACCAATATGCTGCAACCATGCTTCATACCATTCAATAACTGGCCATCACAATCAAGGTATCCAGTGAGTTACAACAGTTTTCGCACCGTTCATTGGTCAAATACAGCAACAAGAGTAAAATAATTAGATTGATTCAGAATATGGACCTGGATAGCCCGTAATTATACAGATAAAATTGTAGAGTTTGTAACATCACTTCTGCAGTGCAACAAAGCAAACCCACTAGAAAGACAATTTCAAGCATTGGTATTGGTACCTTGAAAGCATCCTCGTCTGTACGATCATCTCCAATATATACAGGTAGGACGTCACTTGAATCAGCAAAACCTGCAAGGACAAGACTAACTTTTGGTCATATTGGATCTAAGTTTCTCCACCAAAGAATACTAGAACTCAATCACATTTGACAGGCAGAAAAGTGCAAAATAGATTTTTACTCAAGTAGTGCACAACATCGGAATTGCACGTACCCAAAGAATTTAGAAGATAGTTTACAGCTTTGCCTTTGTCCCATGCAATGGATGGGCGGACCTCCAAGACCTGATAATTTGACCAAAGGATGAATGTTCAGAATTCTTTTATTGATCATTAATTTATTGATCATTTTTTATTGATCAAAAACTGCATGACCAAAAGAACCGTACGGATTTCATCTGATTGCACAGTCGTGGCTGTGAAAGAAAACAACAATATACTTTGCGTACCTTCCGGCCATGCGTGAGACTCAACATTGGGTAATCCTTCAAAACATTTTGAACTTTTGTTGCAAGAGTTTCCCAAAGCTGCATCATGAAGACATTTAGTATATTATGACTTATGTATAACTTTTATGTATTAGTGCTGGTAAACTGGTAACTTCAATTATAATCTAAAGACACATTCAAAGCAAACATTCCGTGACAAGGAGTTAAGAGCAAGCTCCAGATACCTCTTCTTTCACAAGACGAAAATGAACCGTCAAACAATACTTGTTGTGTTCGACCCGCGCATCCTTTATGGTTCTTATCGTATCATTCAAGACACTGCAAACCTACACTATTACACAAGAATAGTCAATTACTGTCGCTTTGAAAAGCAAACGTCTTTGAACGTCATTTAAGATCTAACAGCTGCAGCCTGCAATATTATACACCTTACTGCATTATTGTCCAACATCATCATCGTCTAAGTGTCCAAATAATCACACACCTTGTCCATCATTGGAAGATATTCGCTTGCAGGTTGGAAAAATACAACATCATTACCCTGAACAGTAACAATCATTGTTAGAAGGAGCGGACGATTCGAATAACCTACTAGCGACATATATGTTCATTAGTTTACAAACAGAGAGAAACAATAAAAAAAATTAAGACTTTGAGTTAAAATTATCAAAAACTTGAAAATTAAAAACCACCTTCTTGTCTTTAACTCGAGTTCCGTTGACTTTAAAACCACTTGAACTTTTTGCAGGACCCATTATATCCATTCCATGACTTCCAGCATAGTACAACTCCGACAATTGCACAAAATCGTAAACCTGTTTCAGAATCGAACAATTCACCGATATTGGGTTATGTTCAGCAAAAAAAAAAAAAAAAAAGAAAAAAAAAAAACGAAGCAAAATGCCGAGAATAATTGAAAGACTTAAGTACAATGGTCATCCACACAACGTTTTCGACTACATAGAGAAACGACGGACCAAAGACTCACCTTTGGACGCGCTCTTCCACTGATGATTGCAGTAGGGAAACAAGTGGCCAACTCCTTTACTGTAGCCCGCATCTGTACAAAGAAAAAGAAAAAGAAAAAGAAAAAGAAAAAAAAAAAAAAAAAAAAAAGGTAAGCAATTGTACAGAAAAATAAACTCACGGTTTTCTCCGTGGTTCTCTGCGTTGGAACTTGATAATGGTCAAAATGTATCACATGTGAAAGATAAAGGCTATTGATGCTACAGCTCTTGTCACGCTTGCTTCTCGTAAATGGTTTGGATGGTAAGCTCACCTCATCAGACATTAAAGCCCGGTCTGGATTATCGACAATAGGTGACAGAGTACCGTCGTAGTCGAGAAATACAACTATTTGCTTGGATTTCGCAAGCTTCACCACTTTGTCAAACGAACTCAAAGCTGACGGGTGCTTCTCCTTTATTGACAAAAACAAGATAATTTAGAAGTTTAGTTACGAAAGAATTATCATCTAACACCAACAACTATTTCATCAAAGTAAGCAAAAAATTATCAACCTCTAATATTGATATTCGTTTATTGATCACATTGTACAGCCAACTGAAAACAGATGCAAGGTTTTTTTTAAAAAGAAATGCGTCCTTCTGTAGAGCTAACTCATAACGCAAATCACGAGCTGTAAATATACTTACGAGCCACGCGCTGTATGCTGCTGTCTCGATGTCGAAAGTTTCAGGAGCCTCTCCATGTAGAGAGCGAAATTGTGGTGGTGACTGCGACCTCATTGCATCAATCCATGTAATCATGTGACCCTTGTCAACAACGTAAGGTCCATGCTTCTTTGGCACAGCAACAGCCACAGACTTAATGGACACTGAGGTTCCATTAGTTGCAGCTGACTTCGAAGGAGAAGCAGCCACCAGCGAAGATACTGACAACGTCGAAGCGCATGAGGCGGCCGCAGGCTCTCCACAAACTGCCGCTCGCTTGGACCTCAGTGACATACCACCCACCATTCCCTCTCCCAGAGTAGGCAAGCTCGCTCGTAGCAAGCCAACTTCTGCACTTTTGATATCTCCTTGATCGAATCGGTCAAATATAATGGGACTATTCGTCTCGCACTTGTAAATCATACTCACTACCCTCTTTATCAAACTGGAAGGAGTCAAAATACTTCTATCCTTTTCGCCACTTCAACTTCTTTGCTTAAGTATTCTTCAAAACTTACTTGAAACCTTTTCTAACACAAAGCTGTTGATCTTTACAATGAACAAATATTAGCTTACTCCAGTCACCACGCTGCTGGCAAGCAACCTGGACAGAGCAGTTTCAGCACAGTCCTGCACAAAATGAAGCGAGATCAACATGGTGTAGTTCGGACAAATCCCCGGATCAATTTTTCAGTGAGCAATAGAAGCGCACCTAGGATCCCGGCTTATTCCAGAGATATTCCCTTGTGATGTAATTGTGCATTCTACTCGAGCTGAAATACGGAAAAAAGAGCTACAATCACTATCCAAAGGCAAGGCCAAGGGATTCAATCCAGAGTCACTGTTTAGGACAAATATACTTCACGGGTAAGACCCCTCACAATAACATCATATGACGAACAAAGATCTAGATTCTCCTCCGAAATGGATTCGCATCATAGCCTGCCTCACTTAATTAAACCTCCATACCCTCGTAGCTAACTATTTTTTTTGAATTGACTAGGTTGTCCACCGCCACATTGTACAATCTGACAAAATTAATTTACTCACGCAACATACACACGCTCAAGGACCATCAATAGTGAATAATACCGCCTTTACCCGAAGCAACTCAAGAGAACACTCCGGCCTTCAGTCGAAGCAGGTAAATTTACAGGCAAAGCACGAAAAATTCATGAAAGAGTGGTAGTATTTGAGCTGGAAATGTAATCGCTCTGAGATCTACAAACCTCCGGAAAAAATCACGAGCCTTGAAAGTTGTGACAAATAACAGACTAAAACCGATATGCGACACGTGGTGCGACACCAAACAACGTGCCGCAAGCTTTCAGACATTAGTTCACAATCTTTTCAACTCTCATGTCCAAACTTTCACGCGTCCATTCCTGAACGTATGACGTGGTCCAGCTAGAGCATCGAAAAATTAAAGTCTGTAGAAAGCTGCTGGACGATTGCCACTGCAGGAGTCGTTGGTCGCTCTCCAACGCTCTCTAAGGATGGCAAATGATCACGGAAAGGTTGGTCCACGCATCATGGAGTAGACTCACAAGTGTGCACCTTGTGCTAAACTAGCTATCTATCTATCTATCAATATCTAAATCTGTCTGTATATATATATATATATATATATATATAAGTAATGAGAGGAAGAATACAGAACCACTCACTAATATTATCCAAGTTCGACTACGACCTCAATGTCTAGTGACTAATGAGTCCAAACAAGAACCGTGTTAAATTTTGAGGCTCATGAAGGTTGATGATATCTGATCGTTTCTTTCATGAATCAAGCACTCCATGACTGTTGTGGCTACCGCTAATAGATCAACTGTGCTATTGCACGAAAAGTGCGTCTGCAAAGGTATTCTCAGATTGTTGTTTGCTGACATGCTTAAGTGTCATAGACCTAAAACTCTCAAGCTCTGTGGCTCAACAAAACTACCTAGAGTAGTAACTTGACACTATAATTCGAGACAGCCACTATCCCTTGGACAAACAATTTGACAATGTATTAAAAATTACATTATCTGGTAACTACATAAAAAAGGATGCCTCGCGTGTGCAACAATTTTCAAGTAACACGAAGCAGTCTATTTGGACGCCAAAGGTATGAGCAAACCGCAGTCAAAAATAAATAAAAAAGTAAAAAAATAAAAGGCCCATGCACGTATCACCCCACGTCCGCTGTGACTTCGGACAATGCCAGTTCAAGGAAATGATAGAGACCTGGATTGCAGAAATATGAGAAATGATCTTTGACAAATAGCATCTTCAAAATTATCAGCCAAAGTTAAACCACGACAGCGCAAACCTCGCATGCTCAAGAACCTGGACTTAATACTACCAAACGAGGAACCACAAAGAAAGCAGGAGCTAACTATGGCCACGGGTCCGTAACCCCGAGGTCGGACATTCCCATGTCCCCAACTGCTCGTTGCTTTCAGAGCAGACAGCAACGCACACAATCTCCTCTTCCTCTAATGACCGGTGAGATGTGCACGCCAAATCTGAACACGGTCACACTACCAATATGCCCTACAAACCAAGAAAATCAATGACATGGAAAAATTTAAATTCGCACAGAGAGGCAGGTCTGAACCTTGGGGAATATCTCAATTTCTGTCTGCACGAAAACCTCAACAACATCCGTCCTCTCTCCTCTTCGCCCAGGCATCCACGCAAACACAGGACCTCACTCACAACTGGCCAAGTTGTTCGTTCAGCACTCACTAATTGGTAAACACACGGCAGCAACCTCTCTCTCTCACTCTCTCTCTCTCTCTCTCTCTCGAATGGTTCACAAGAAACAATTCAGGGAGCAGACTTATGAAACCGCCACTAGCAACCAGCCCTTATAATCACCCTCAATCTCAGCCGAAAGGGACCTCCACCCCTGACATGGCAGCAGTCCCCCTCTCCCCTCGACGACGAGCACGCGCGGTTATCAGTCCCACGGCACACACCCCTCCCCCCCCCCCCCTCTCCCTCCTTGCTCCTCCGCGGACTCTCCAGCGACTCGTCTCGAATACAAACAAGACTTCCTTCCTTCCGACAAACGGACAGACAGACAGTCCCCGGAAGCAGAGCAGCAGGCAGCCTGACGCCCTTTCTTCCTCTTACCTGCCCCCCATCCCCCCTCTTCCCTCCCTCTCTGGCTCGCTCTCAGTTTCACCTGGTTCCGTTTTCGCGCAAAACCCTGGCTCCCGATTTACCCGATGTGACGATGTAAAAAGACGATCGCAATTCTCGATGTGCACCACACGCCACCTGCCTTCCCCGTCTCCCTTCCTCCTTCCTCCTCCTCCAGACTGGGGCGTTTAAGAGCTTTGCATGGCTAGAAGGCTCTAGACCAGCCCCGTGCCAAGACCTCCACCTGTCATTCCAGTAAGTATGTAAGCAAGTGACTACTGCATCACGGATTCACACTGCGCCACCAAAGTTCACCGTAAGCGGCGCCGTAGATTGAGATTTATTTCGTCCACCTAGACCCCCCCCCCCCCTCGCCAGTCATAGACGTCCCGGTGAGTGTCGTCGCTCGCTCGCCCTCCCGCTGAATTCGACGCTGAATTCTAATCTTGGACTAAAAGCCAACACCACAAACTAACTTGACTCAGGTTGAACAACTAATATTAGATCGACCATTGAACAATTGTGCGCTCTTTCTCTGTCAGGTTCTCTGTCTTCCGTAGAAGAATCAAGTAAACTCTATCATGGTCAAGGGAGCAACACCACCACAGGACAGAGTGAGTGTGAATCAATCGGAGGAGGAGGAGGAATCAACAACGCTCCGGCGAATCTTGTCTTTCTCGTTGTTGTTGTTGTTGTTGTTATTACAGCTTAGCGACGCCCTTCCCCTTCGTGACCTTGATCAAGTCCTTCTCCTCCTTGTCCACGCCCCCCTTTGGATCCATCCTCCCATGCAATGCAATTTTGTTGTGCTTAAGTGTATGTACCACTCAAGTTCGCAAATTTAGTATATTTCTCCAATGTGAGTGGTTCTTTTTTTTTTTCTTTTCGTTTTTTCCAATGGAGTGAGTATAGGATGACTTGTGTCAATAGCCACCACCAACTGATCAATTCCAGAAACTTGAGATAAAACGACATGATGATAAACGATAGCTGAATCATGGGTTATTATACTTTTATTTTTATTGTTCTGATTTAGGTATTTTAAAATAAAGTGTGTGTGTGTGTGTGTGTGTGTTTTTTTTCTTTTTTCTTTTTTTTTCTTTTTTTACTTCCTCTACTTTGAGTCATCTTAGGCGAACTCATCTTGAAGGATGCTCTACAAAGTTGATGTGTTTTTCTTAGTAAATTCTCGTGTACATATATAGAACGTGTGATTTGGGAATCACTTTGACTATTTAATAATAGGTAAGATCAACGTTGAAAATATTATTTATACATTGGAAACTAGATTCAAATTTTGATATTGTTGATCATCTTCATCCAAACTTGAAAAGAATGTCGTAGGATCATTCAGCCATATCATAGACATAGTAAGGGACATAATGATGTGAAAGCTAAAAGTGGAAATCAAAAAACCAAATCCAATGACAACAATAACAACAAATATTTGATACATAGATAGATTAAATTTAATTTAAACAAAATTTAATTAAATTTAAACAATTAAATTTTGGTGGAATGAATGAATGAATGTATGGGCCTTCTTGAAAAATGTCTATTGGGTGGGTCTTTGCTCAATCATGTCCATGAAATGTTTAGAAGACAAGGATGTCCAGCCATCCACACATGAAATCCCTGCAGAACATGGGGCAACATTTATCATGTCCCCATCCGTAAATGATACACTTCAATTTTGAAGACTCTCTGAAATAAAAATAAATAAATAAATAATGATAAATATAAACATAAAGATTTATTTCTTGAAAAATAATTTTTTCTATTATTTTTTGAAAAATTAACCTTTGCATAAAACCTTGCACGTTAGCCCAAGCAAATTAAACTATTTTAAACAAAGATTGTTAAATAGATTAAATTATTTTGTTGAGAGCATCTCTGCATCCAATAAATTTGTAAGTTCATTGCAGTCCTTTTTATTCTTCAAAGTGAACTTTATAAACAAAATAATAAAAAATAAAAAATAAAATTAAAACTTACTTAATTTTTTGGTAAGAGCAAGAAAGATCTATAAAATTATCAAAATATGGAAAGTAATGCCAAAACAAATTGCAAGTAGCATCAATGAAGCTCAACTTTTAACTATGATGTTTCTACATGATCTTGTAGATACTAATATATAAATATTTATATAATTTTAATGGTATTAAAAACAACATATTTAAACTAAATATATATATATATATATATATATGCATGTATGTATGTATGTATATGTATGTATGTATGTATGTATGTATATGTATGTATGTATGTATGTATGTATATAAATGATTAGTGATTCAGCATGCAAGTCAAATATATGTGCTTGGGTCATTACTAAGATATCACACAAAAATTAATTTTGCATGAAAATTTAAAATTCCAATAGATATTTATACCACCTTAAATAAATTTAACTTGAATCTATTGAAGAACAAGCACTTTGAAGATACAATACTTAGCATCAGCAAGGTTGCACACAAAGAGAGAATGAAATAAGATGTCTCTCACTTCCAATACCTATTACTTATAGATAGTAGTTGCTGCCCTAAAAGACAACTTCCACTCTTTGACTTTTACACATGTGGCCCTAAGATCCTTTTGGCATCTCACGAGCCTCGAGGATATCTTATGACACATACTAATGACTCATACTTAATCTTTGGATATTCCCTTATTAATACTTTATGCATTTAACTTTGACTCTTGCTCTATGACTTCGTCCTATATCCATTGGATGTCCTTACTATATACCAAAAGTCAAACCTTTGACCACTAGTAACTTACTTAAGTTAATATCTTTTATAAGGTAACTTATTCTACTTTTACTTTAACACTCTCACTTTGTTATTGATCAAATGGCTTTTAATCCTAATGTCTTTGTCAACATGTAGTGTCTATCTTTTACTAATGCCTTTGTCAATAAATCAGCAAGCATTTCCTCTATTGCACAATACTTTATATCAATTACTCTCATTTTAATCTTCTCTCTTATTAAGTGATGTTGAATGTCAATGTATTTGGTCTTGGAATGATACTTTGGATTCTTTGCAAATCCAAGACATCTTTGATTGTCACACTCCATTGGAGTTGCTTCCATTTGCACATCTCCAATGTCCTCCAAAAGTTGTCTCAACCATATTGCCTCTATTGCACCATGGCTTGCTGCCATGTACTCCGCTTCCATTGTTGACCTTGCAATTGTTGGTTGTCTCTTGTAATTCCATGAAATTTCTCCTACTCCAACAAAGAATACGTAGCCCATTGTTGACTTTCTATCATTTCCATCTCTAGCCCAATCTACATCACAATAACCATGCAAACTAATGTTATCACCTCCAAAGCATAATTTGAAGTTCAAAATGCCTTTTAAGTACCTCATGATCCTTTTGATGGTTGCCCAATGGATTGATCCAGCCTTTGACATGTGTTGGCTCACAACACTCACCGCATATACAAGATCTACCCTTGTGCCAACCATTACATACATAAGTGAGTCCATTGCTGCCTTGTATGGAACACCTTGCATTTAACCTTCAACTTCAGTAAACTCTTCATCCGTGAGCTTCATCAACTTCAAGTTTACCTCCAATGGTGTTCCAATAGGCTTACATTCTTCTATGTTGAATCGTTTCAACACTTCTTCAATGTACTTGCTTTGGCTCATTGTAATGGTCTTCTTAGTACGATCTCTTACAAACTCCACTCCTAAACAATAGTGAAGCTCTCCCAAATCACTCATTTCATACTCCTTTTCTAACTTTACCTTCAATCAATCCATCATCTTCAATGTATTGATTAAGATGATCAAATCATCAACATAAAGGATGACAATCAATATGAACCTATTTCATTGTATCACATGTAAGAAATGATCAGCCTCACTCCTTACAAATCCTTCACTCATAAAGAATGTATCAATGCGTTGGTACCATGTCCTTGGTGATTGCTTTAGCCCATACAAGGATTTCTTCAACTCACAAACAAGGTGTTGTTTGCCTTCTTCAACAAATCCTTGAGGTTGCTCTATATAGATGTCTTCTTCCAAACTTCCATTCAAGAAAGCCGTCTTTACATCCATTTGATGCATCTCCAAGTCCAATGTTGCACCAATTGCCACAATGGTTCTAATGGTGGTGAATTTAGCCACGGGAGCAAATATCTCATTGAAATCCACACCAGCAACTTGTGAGTGCCTTTAGCAACTAATCTAGACTTATATCTCACAATATTGCCCATTACATCCCTTTTGGTTCTAAACACCCACTTACAACCAATTGAAGATCGATTTGGTAGAAGTTGAATCAATTCCCATGTTCCATTGTTCATGAGTGATTTATATTCTTCTTGCATAGCATTCTTTCATTTCAATGCATCCGTGGACTTCATTGCATCACATAAACTCAATGGATCAATAAAAAGTACAACATTGGAATGTTCTTTACTTACTTGAGGAAAGATGTGGTCCTTCCACCATTCACCACGAGGTTTTCTTTCTCTCAAAGGATATCTCCTTTCATTTGAAGAAGACCCTTCTTCTTGCATTCCATCCTTTTTCTTCTTCAATACTTGTCTTTTGTCACTCAAAGGTTGATATTCTTCATCATCATCATCACCTTCAATATCTTCATTGTCTTCATTATTCGTTCTAGCAATTGAAGGCACACTATGATTTACCTTCTTTGGCATTTGATCTTGACTTTTATTTCTTCCATCTTCATCATCTTCTTCTTTCTTTTCTTTCTTTGAAATTGAAGATGTGTCTACAAACACATCTTCACTCCC